CGGTATTTTGATTAAACCTTGGACCGACCGCTGGACGCCCGTGGGATGTTTGCATGATTCCCTGAAAAGTCAGATTTCTTTAATATCCGAGGGGCGTCCGCCAGTGGTTTCCATCAGTGCGTCAAAAAATTACATGCCCCTGGCCGTTCGTGGGACGTTAACATAATTAAGTGAAAAATAAAAAAACATAAGCTGTCCCAGGGACGTTCGTCGGTCATTTCCGATATTTTTATTAAACCTTTGAACGACCGCTGGATGCCCGTGGGATGTTTGCATGATTCGCTGAAAAGTCAGATTTCTTTAATGTCCGAGGGACGTCCGCCAGTGGTTTCCATCAGTTCGTTAAACCATTACATGCCCCTGGCCGTCCGTGGGACGTTAACATAATTAAGTGAAAAATAAAAAAACATGAGCTGTCCCAGGGACGTTCGTCGGTCATTTCCGATATTTTTATTAAACCTTGGAACGACCGCTGGATGCCCGTGGGATGTTCGCATGATTCGCTGAAAAGTCAGATTTCTTTAATATCCGAGGGACGTCCGCCAGTGGTTTCCATCAGTGCGTTAAACCATTACATGCCCCTTGCCGTCCGTGGGACGTTAAGGTAATTTAGTGAAAACTAAAACATTTGAGATGTACCAGGGACGTCCGTAGGTCATTTCCGGTATTTCGGTTAAAGCTTGGAACGACCGCTGGACGCCCGTGGGATGTTTGCATGATTCGCTGAAAAGTCAGATTTCTTTAATGTCCGAGGGACGTCCGCCAGTGGTTTCCATCAGTGCGTTAAAAAATTACATGCCCCTGGCCGTTCGTGGGACGTTAACATAATTAAGTGAAAAACAAAAAAACATGAGCTGTCCCAGGGACGTTCGTAGGTCATTTCCGGTATTTTGATTAAACCTTGGAACGACCGCTGGACGCCCGTGGGATGTTTGCATGATTCCCTGAAAAGTCAGATTTCTTTAATATCCGAGGGGCGTCCGCCAGTGGTTTCCATCAGTGCGTCAAAAAATTACATGCCCCTGGCCGTTCGTGGGACGTTAACATAATTAAGTGAAAAATAAAAAAACATGAGCTGTCCCAGCGACGTTCGTCGGTCATTTCCGATTTTTTTATGAAACCTTGGAACGACCGCTGGACGCCCGTGGGATGTTTGCATGATTCCCTGAAAAGTCAGATTTCTTTAATATCCGAGGGGCGTCCGCCAGTGGTTTCCATCAGTGCGTTAAAAAATTACATGCCCCTGGCCGTTCGTGGGACGTTAACATAATTAAGTGAAAAACAAAAAAACATGAGCTGTCCCAGGGACGTTCGTCGGTCATTTCCGATTTTTTTATTAAACCTTGGAACGACCGCTGGATGCCCGTGGGATGTTTGCATGATTCCCTGAAAAGTCAGATTTCTTTAATATCCGAGGGGCGTCCGCCAGTGGTTTCCATCAGTGCGTTAAAAAATTACATGCCCCTGGCCGTTCGTGGGACGTTAACATAATTAAGTGAAAAACAAAAAAACATGAGCTGTCCCAGGGACGCTCGTCGGTCATTTCCGATTTTTTTATTAAACCTTGGAACGACCGCTGGACGCCCGTGGGATGTTCGCATGATTATCTGAAAAGTCAGATTTCTTTAATATCCGAGGGACGTCCGCCAGTGGTTTCCACCAGAGCTTTAAAAAATTACATGCCCCTGGCCGTTCGTGGGACGTTAAGATAATTAAGTGGTAACTTAAACATATGATATGTACCAGGGACGTCCGTCGGTCATTTCCGGTATTTCGGTTAAAGCTTGGAACGACCGCTGGACGCCCGTGGGATGTTTGCATGATTCGCTGAAAAGTCAGATATCTGTAATATCCGAGGGATGTCCGCGTGGTGATACGGACAGGTAGTAAACTGTTGAAATCACCAGCGGACATCCGTGGAACATTAAAATAATTCGATGGAAATTGGAAACATAAAGTATCTGATGAACGTCCGCCGGGTGTTTCCTCACTTCATCGGACCTTGTAAGGAGCATTGGACGTCGGTTGGACGTTAGAATAGAAGTAAATACGGTATCCGAGGGACGTTTACAGGATGTTTCCGTGAGTTCAATAAACCATGGAACATTCGCCGGATATCCGTGAGACGTTACAAGAAATCGATGAAAACCCAGATATTTACAATAACCGAGGGACATTCGCCGGCATTTCTGCTGGTTTATTTAACCTTGGAACGACCACCGGACGTCGTTGGGACGTCAGAATAATTCTGAACGAGCACACCTCCTGCCAGCTTGTAATAAAGATGTATCTTTATTGGACGCAGCTTTACGGGATGCGCTCTTTATTCTTACGAAAAATTATTCTACCACTTCCATTTCCCTATTCTCAATCCCAATTTCAAAAAATGGATTCGACATTCATTGAAACAAAGCAGTCCATTCGTTAGAATATTCATTAATTCCTATGAATCCAGCAGGTCCATTGTTTTCGCATCGGTAACTCAAACTTGGATTGATGAACAACATCAGATCACACAGATAACTGATAATATGTGCCTTGAAAAGAACTATGCATAGGTTGGTCTTATGCTACGTCAACAGTAAGTTTCGTGCCTAGCCAGCAGGCAAAATATAGGTTGCGTTAATGATAGTTACTTAGTTCCCATGGTTTTTTATGGGACTATATTTTTTTCTTAAAATTTTACCAAATTCTGAGCTCACTGTCTGAAAATTAGTTTTTAGATAATAATATCCAAGCGTCTTTCAAATGGGTTTACGATGAGAATCTCATCGTCAAATTATATGTCATACGAACTCCATAGGAACCCATGTTATTGAGGTTAAAATTAGAATGGCTCAAGCCCCCTGCCAGCTTATTGAATTATCGCTTCATTGAGGGTAGGTACGCTTCTTTATAGGACACCACCAATCTATGGTAACTATTTATGGTGTTGCTTACACCAGATGTTCGGTATCAAAGTAAACATAACCTCAAAGTTGTGTTTTCCATCCTTTGTTTCAAATACTCCTGCTACCACTTGAGCACTGAGAGATAATCATGTGTGTTGTTTACCCTCTCTGATTGAGAGATTATTTTTGTAATACCTAACGGTATACATGGTTAATAATAGCGAAAAATGAGACATAATAATTGCTACGAGTTCGAGTTATCCATCAATACTTAATTGAACTACTGGTTAAATACAGCTCTGTAAAAGATGCATTGGGATGGACCCCATCTTTGGGCCATTTTAAAATAGTTGTTAAATACCTTGTTTAAAAGCTGTCGGTAAAAAGCAAATTCATGTTTATCTCTGCCCAAACAACCATTTAAACGTCTTTGATAGTGCAAGCAAAGGAATCTGAATGTAAGTGATCCAACCTCCACCAAGATGAATGAACATTCTCATCTTATGATTGATTGGTCCTTGCAGGATTAACAAATCACATTCTGGTCTCTACGCAGATCAGAGACAAGAGACCCTCCACTAATATCTTGGCCATTGTGGAAGCTTTTTCTTTCGGGACTTCACCATTCCACTGTTGACTTACCTACATGGTACTTGGCAGTTCCGTTTAGCGAATAAGCTGAAAATGGCCGACGTTTGGGAAACTTGTTTGGCTCATGACGTCATCCGAAGCTCATCATCGACCATGTAGGTAAGTCAACAGCCCAAACTAGGATGATGACTGTTGCTCCCTAGTAATTGTCCATAAGGAATTGTTGAAACCTCGCCAGTAAAAGCTTTCTCTTGTCACTAGGAGGCCAGTGGAGGGTCTCTTGTCTCTGATGCAGATCAAGATTCGCTATTTAGTCCTGATTTAGTCGCTGATTGTATAAATGTACTCACTGACCTCATTTAATGAGATGAGTCCAAAGAGCAACGTTAATTTTTTCATGGTTAGCAGTCAACAATCGCCGATTAATCTCACAAAACTAATATGGGATAGAACTGCTATTGTGTTACATCGATATAAAGAAAAGAGTCGATAAGAAAGAAAAAAGTGAGCACTCACGATTGTTTGCTTGAAAACATCTCTTTTGTCAAACAAGGTACGTCCAATCTTCGCTCCGTCTTACAAGCTGAACTTCAAATAAGTAGGGATGGGGAATAACTACCGCACAATGATTTTACACCACTACCGCCAAATTTTCCAACACGGACAGAAATAATCCACTCTCCAATGAGTAGCCACTTGAACATACGGAACCCGAATAACTCGGAAATAAGTCACAGGCACTATCAGATATGCTGCTCCGGTAAGAGCGCGGTGATGGTTCAGCAACGGCGGAAGTTCACATTTGTAGGACTTACCGGTAAGAATTTCAATACTATTCCACGCGCGCATGGTTGATCACTCCGAATGATCAAATATTCTGGCCCGATTGCTTAGATGTGCACCCGATCGACGGTAACTGAACTGGAAGATTCTAAAACAAAGTGACAAAGTGACACAGCACGGTACCGCAAGCTAAATTAAAAGCGTAGAAACCCTGGAAAACTGAGCATGCTACCTAACCTAAAACAAACTATACACAAAACAAAATATCTGTCTTGCAGACCTATAGTGTGCCTCGCCTCAAGTACGTATTATCACAGGTCGGTCGCGATGAGTACGTGCCTACATTGGAAGTTATTCCTAAAGCTTTCCTCACCCTAAAAAATTTCCTTGCACATGATTCCGCTTTTAAGAAACCTTATAACAAATGGTCATTGCTAGCACCATGTCTGCAGATCGGCTTTGGTGTTCGTTGCCCTTGAAAAGATGAGTGTTGATATCCGGCCAAACAAACCGCGGTTAAACTTCTATTCCGGCATGGTAACAAGTTACAGGTGCTACTGTTTTTAGTGTATTTTTTTACTCTTGGCTTCTTCAATGTTGTGATGTGATCGTGAACGTTCCCGCCTAGAATCGGGAATCTCTATCTAGACCAAGTAAGTACTGTCACCAACTCACCACTGTCACGTTGTCGTTGATGCTTCAAGTTCTAGGACGATTTTGTATTCTGGACGTTTTATAAGTTTTCACATTCGTAAGTAATTGAAATTTTTTAACTCACATCTGCTCAGGCGTACCTGTCCTGCACAATCAGTTTTATTTCCTGCTCTGCTCTTGCTGGAACTTGCCACACTCTTGGATCTGTGAATTTGATCTTAGTCGTTCCTTAATTGTTGATGCTTCCTCAAGCCTCAACAAATCCAATTCTTATAGCCCTGCATAGACGATCAAATTCCGAACCTATTCCGATCAAAGTAGACATGCTGATGACTGGTGGTCACCATCTACCATCCAATTCTGACGGACCGCACTTTTTTGTTCAAAGTAAGATCAGAACGGAGTGCCACCATTCATCATCTCCTGCCACATTAATGAGTTTAAGACTGATGACTCCCGACACTTTGATGCTACTTTGATCGGAATTGATTCGGGAATTTGATCGTCTATCGAGGCTTTATGACTGAAGGACGTTTTAATGTCCAAAGAATGACTATGAATTCGACCCTTAATTCCACTTCATTAAGTGGTACTGTTTCAGTAATTCCTCGAGTCAACGTCTAATAAGTTTATCCGCTCTTTGATTGCGACAGAAGATGCACTATCTTGATTATTGGGTCTACTTGTCTTGCTGAACTGATGTCAGGCATTCTTCTGTTGCAGTTTTAAAGTGCATAAACTTATCTGGCGTGGACTCTAATCTAAGTTTCAAAAGTCCGAAGCCAATTTGATCATGTTTTGCCATGCTGTTTTCCATATTTGAACATGTTCCAAGAATCTTGGATAGTGTGCAAAATCGCAAGGCAAATACTTCCCATCATTTAGGTTTTCAATCGTGCCATTGATTTCCTCCATCATTTCAGTAAGGGACTTGCAGGCTTTTCTTTTGTCTGCCCCTTCCAACCAGTCTCTAACTACAGCTTTTTGACAACCCCATGTCCTGGTAAGCGATGTCCTTGTTCGGTAGATCAGCCACCAAATTTATGTGTGAAATTTTCGGATAGTGTTCAAAGTTCTTTCTTGGCACATCAGACGCAAGTCTTTCGTCCACTCATTGGTACTTCAGATCCCAATAATTCGCTGGAGCATCAAAGCAAAATTTTTTCATTCTAATTTCAACATGCTTTCCTTTTCAAATCTAAGCCAGTTATATGAAAAGTATCAACTTCTGGACCAAAATCTTCAAAAATTGCAGCAGAACAGCCTACTTTGACTGGGCTACAGAAAATGGCTGTGTTGAAGATGTAATATATGAAACTTGGAATATTTAGAAATCCTACCTTGATGGACCACATTTGCATCCGCCCAGACCAGGTCACAGGGGCTCCATCAAAATCCATTATTCAGAGTACTTTTCTTGGTGGATTCTTCACCTTCTCTTGGGCTACTTTTGCAGTGTTTTCCAACAAACCAAGAACCTTCTGAGTATTCTATCTAGAATTAATTTTTCTTTTTTTTAACTTAATCTGTGTTGGAAAAACAAGTAAAATGTAGAATTATCTCATCTGACAAATTTCAATAGATACATGCTCATGTCTCTTATTTTTAGCCATGCCTTATCAGCTCCTGTATTAAATGGCTCGATCGAAGAAAAGGACAAGGCCTTCCGAAAGCCGTAGGACTCAAATTAATTATGACAAGTTTTCTAAGAGACTGAAACATTGGCACTTTTCTCATGGTATCACACAGAATGCCACATCTGACCTGTTGCATATATTGGCAGAAGAAATTCCTGGAGTCAGTGAGCATCTACCGGTAACAGCCTCCACTTTTTTGGAGACCCCTAGAGCCGTCAAGGTGAAAAAAATTTCTCTAGACTTAATCAGTTTACCCAAAAGTAAACCTACAAAGAAAAAGAAGAAACTGTGCCCTGAACTCGCCAAAGCGCTTGAAAAAAAAAAAAAATTGTATGGTGATTACTTTTATTTTGGTTTGTACGAAAATATCAAAAGAGCCCTGAAAAATGTGAAGAATCCTCCAAGAAAAGCAATTTTGGCAACGGGTTTTGACGGAGCCCCTGTAACCTGGTCTGGGCGATTGCAAATCTGGCCTATCATGGTTGGATTTTTAAACATTCCAGAATTAATAAATTATGTCTTCGTTGCAGCCATCTTCTGTAGCCCAGTCAAAGTAGGCTGTCCTGCTGCAATTTTTGAAGATTTCGTTCCAGAAGTAAATGTTCTTCATGAAAAAGGTTTAGATATCGACGGAAAGCATTTCGAAATTAGAATGAAAAAATTTTGCCTGGATGCTCCAGCAAAGGCATTACTTCTTGGAACCAAGAGCACCAATGGGTATAGCTCGTGCACCAAGTGCTGGGTCAAAGGCGATTCTGATGGTTCAAGGAGGTATTTCGATGATCTCACTTGCCAAGACAGGACTCATGAAAAGATGCTAGAAGGGCTGGACCCTGAATTCCAACTTAGGAGCTGCGCTATCCTAAATATTTCACACATAAATCTGGTGGAAGATCTACCAAACGAGTACATGCACCTAATTGGACAAGGGGTTGTCAAAAAGTTATTGGTAGAGCACTGGTTGAAAGGGGCGGACAAAAGAAAAGCCTGCAAGTTCAGCACTCGAATGATACAGCAAGTCAACAATGCATTTGAAATCCTAAATGATGAAAAATATTTTCCACGCGATTTTGCCCACTATCCAAGGTCCTTGGAACATGTTCACAAGTGGAAGGCAACAGAGAACCGAGCATTTCTCTTATACATTGGACCTGTCATCTTAAAGCCAATTTTTGAGGAGCAAGACCAAAATCTCAATGCTAAAAATCCAAAACCCACATCATATATGGATGGGTACAATAATTTTTTAACCCTACATGTGGCTTGCACAATCCTCCTTAGCGAGATTTTGTGTAAAAAAGAGAACCTTACCGTTGCTGATGAGCTACTAAGGTCTTTTGTGACTGAATACGGTGAAATTTATGGCTCAGAATTCATCAGCCACAACATTCATGGCCTTATCCATATCGCAAAAGACGGAATCTATGGACCAATTCATAGGTTGTCTGCATTTAGGTTCGAAAACATGCTCCGTTTTCTGTTGAGCTGGATCAAAAAGCCCGGCTTTGCTGCCATACAAATTGTTCGAAGATTGCTAGAAATGAACGCATGCGGTTTTGAATGCCCGTATGGTCGGCAGAAGAACAAGGAAGTTCGCTACAGCATTAAACATACTTGCGGGCCCTTAATTGATAACCTAACAAACCCTCAGTATGCCTTGCTCCAGTCTGACCTTATCACCCTTAGTTTAAGACGAACTGGGGATAGATGCTTTTTGTCAACCGAAGATGAGGTAGTTCTAGTGTCAAATTTTGCGACTGCTCCTGATGGCACCGTAAAAATAGTGGGTAAAAAGTTTCTCAAGAGAGAAAATTTTTACACCAAACCTGTGCCAAGTGGTCAGTTAGGCATTTGGCAAGTCAGCAAGTTATCCGAGGAGTTATATTCTTGGGACTTGAAACAAGTTTTTCTGAAATTTGTTATTTTGCCCAAGAGTTTCGAATCAGAAGAAGCTTTCGTTGTTTTACCAATGCTGCATTTCGGGGGACAGCAAGATAATGAATCAGGTTAATTTTTCATCTTGTTTCCTTTATTTTTCTCTCGGCCCTTGTCTCCACTCCGGGGTTTTGCTCCAAGACCTCACCAATTCAAATTTTTTCCTACCGTTTTCAGGAAAAAAATTACAACAAAATTGATAACTGAAACAAGATTCAAGACTACCAAAAGTTGCTGCCAAGTTTATTAGTCAAGGCGAATAATTCTGATGACCTTAAAATAATCACTGATCATCATGTGTTCCGCCAACGAAATGCCCCAAAACAGCAGTGGAGGCGATGCCTTAATTTTATATTCTTAGTGTGGCCAGATAATTCTAATTATTAAGTAACATTGCTGATAATTAGAGAGTCCATGATCAAGACATATTTTCCCCTCTCCTCATCATTTCACCTAGATTATTTCTCTTTTCCTCCACTGAGCTATCCTTCAGAAGAACTTAAAGGGTCCCTTTGAAACTCAAAAATCATAGCATTTTAGTTCATTGCACTACTTAAAATACATATAAAATCATATATTATCATAATTCAAGGGAGGACAGAGGTACATATAACATTAAGGAGAATTAGTCCAGTTGCGTTCGATTTTTCAAAATTTTCTCTCTTCTTTGCATTTGAATCCAGAAAAATGTCATCTCCTCTTCATCAAAAAATTAAGTGAAATAGTAGTCCATTAAGTAATGCGCTTATAACCATTGATCTTCTGTAACTAGAACTTACAACTATTTTTCTCTTTTGTTTCAGAATGATGGGCTGGATTTTAGTAAGGTTTACTCGGGATAAATCCGGAGACGTCATCCCGGAAGGATGGCTACATAAAAACAAGGAGCAAGCTTACTGGCCGAATTGCGGCACTAAAGAAGTTCAGGAATTAATTAAAAGTAACGAAAAAGTGAACACGAAGTGGAGAAAGTGGAAGATTGCACTACTGTCCGACATACGTTATGGTGAGTTCCGTCTACTCCATTTTTGCAATCATTAGTTTGTATGTTTCCTGAAAAATTCCCATAATTTTCAATCTCCTACTTTAAAAAAAATAGGTAAAATTAAATGTTTTATTCAAAGGTTTAACAAAAATGGTAAATGAGTGATTCGGTAACTATTCTGTAAAGTTGAAGAAGGAAATTTCTAGTAAAAATTTTGGCAGTTCAGAAATGTTTTTACTGAGATTACTCAATGAGTTTCTTCAATTTTTGCAGGAACATATGACGAAGCTGTCAAGGCGTTTGACCAGCAGTGCAAAACCTTTCAGCGAATGGCTGAAGAAACAGATGACGAAAGTGTCCTGCTTAAAAGAAAAACGAAGGCAACTGCAAAGCCGGCTGTTGTCTCATCCTTATCGATCCCGTTCAACCTTAAAACGATTAAAAAAGGTAACTTTTTCTTCTGATCTGATGTTTCCTGTAGAGGGTAATATACCTGCAGGTATTACATAAAACGAAACGAGGCTTTAGAAAGTTGGCTTTTTTTTTTGTAATCATTAAGTCACTGTTAAGTGAGATCTACTCCTTGTCCTGAAAAAGTGCAAAATTCTGGAAGGAGGTTTAAAGTGCAACTACAAAATCAGTTTTATAGAACCTGAACTTTTCAAATGATCATTACTTCAATTCTACACCTACTAGATAACTTTTATATCAAATGGATGAGTAACATATCACAGACAGAAATTTGTTTTAAATGAAACTCTATTCCTTTGCAACTGTTAAATTACATAAATGATTCTGATCAGGTACAAATATAAATGATTTGAGAGCCTGGTGTAGATAATTGTACGCTATATCTATCTAATTTTTCTTTAGTTTTTCCTGATACAAAATGCCGACTCTATTTTCTTTTTAAATTAGAACCTCTTGAAAGTCAGATTTTCAGAAGTGAAGAATAAACTGATTTTGCAAGCCATGTATTGCAGCCAAATCAAAGCATGGCAGCAATTTGAAAGAATGTTTAAGAGTTAACACGTTTGGTCCAGAAATCGGAAAATTTGAAGAAAATTAGTGAATTCAGATGTGGAGATGTGCCAGATTGTGGCAAGTGCCCAGCATTTTTTAACTTTCTGGATCCCAGAATCTTCTTTATGTAGCACTGTTAATAATTTATTATTGGCTCGCCTTGTAACTTCTGATTCTTTTCCAGCTTCGGAAAATGAGGAACATCAGAAAGAAAAGGAGGATGTCATTTCCTTGGAAAATCTCAATGAAGATGACAATTGCTCTTTAACATCCTATTCCGGTAATTTCGTGCTGCCACGATTTTCTATTTCCATGCAGCTTTACCTCTTCTAAATCTGTATCCTAGAATATTTTTAAAGCTACTCTGGTTCCTATCTTGTGATTCTGAAAAACGTGCTCACAATCAAACAAAAGGAAAGATTCTTGTTTGAGACTTTTTTCAATGTAGGATACAAGAATTCAGAATCAATTCCTGTCTTCTAAAAAATTTCTCATTCCAACCTTATACTTGATTTAAGCAGCCAAGAAAAATGTCCGTTTTCATTAGCTAAAGGATTATTTCCAAATCAAAATTTAAAGCCTTATCAATTGAAGTTCTTTTATCGGTTCTTAAAAAACTTTTTGCAGATTTTAGCATTGCTACCTGTTTTCAAAAACTAATGTATATGGAGGAGCAGAATTTAAAACAGTGCTTTGAGTTAATCAAGGTTTCATCGGCTCCTCCTCATTTCTCCCGGAAGAAAATCTCCACACTGACTCAGGTGCAAATCATCATGCAAACTGCTTGCATTCTCAGAATATATAAGAAGGATCAGTAATTTTTTGGGGGGTCAATTTCTATAGATTTTTTCCTTGCTGAGGAACACTAAACTCAAGTATGAATAATAGTCAGTGACTTTTTCATTAGGTTTTGAAGGATCGTATATTGCATCCATTAAAACTTGTTTGGAAGAGAGAGAGGTAGACCAAGTAGATGCAGAGAATTACATTTTACGCATCTGGTTGAATAAAATGTGATTCTCTGCATCTACTTGGTCTACCTCTCTCTCTTCCATACAAACTTTTTAATTCATAAAGCACTGTGGCATCATTTCCAGGAGTGTGACGTATTAAGCACTTCACTTAAATTGACCAAAGTATTCATTTAAATGGTTGAATTCTTGAGTCCTTTCTTAGGCACTGTCTTGTATCAGTATTCTATATCATCTGTGTTGATTGAAGAAGGAGACGGAGTTCAGAAATCTGAAAAAATCATTACTTTTTCACCAATCTTCGCTGATATTAAGAAAAAAAAAGAAAGAAAAAAAAACGTATCAATGTTTATAAGTGGATTTTTACTTTCCGACCTGCTCATCAGCAATTGAAGGCAGAATTTCCCCTTCTATTTTATTTTCTGAATAGATCTACTACTCTGATTATCTTCTCTGACTCTTCCTAATTTTTTCCTTTTTTCCTCCCAGATGACAATGATAGGAATGAAGACTCTGACAAGGAAAGGGAGTCTGACGGCTCAATATCAATAATTAATCAAAACCAAATGGACCCAAACACACCTACTCCCCCTGCAAGTAACGAGGAGAATAAGGATGATAACCCAAACCCACTTCCTTCCCCTGTGAATCAGGAGGAGAATGAGGGTGATGGTTCTGCTAAAGAGGATACTACCAAGGCATCAAATGATGGTAAGTTTCCTTGTCTATTACATCTTGCGGTTTTTTATGAGAGGCCATTTTACTAAGTACTGCATGATTAAAAAATTGCAGATTTTTGCAGATTCTGTCCTTCACAAACAATGTAATTCTTTCCACAGTCGAGGATACAGAACACAAAATCTAACTGAAGCTCCCTTTTTCGATTTTCTGAGCCAGGTTTCATCAAAACAGCAGTTAAATTCCTGTATCTGTGTCAACTTTGCATTCCAAAATTTAGTGACATCATATATAGAGTGTCCCAGGGTTAATGTGCCAGACTTCAAGGGTCGATTTTTTATTTTTTGGGTCAACATAATACTTATTTGTTCTATCAATTTTTTTCTGAAAACACTTTTTTTTGACGCTACAGCCCATCAAAATTGAGAATTTTCCATCGAAATTTGCCCACAACTCCGGCGCCAAACGTGAAATGCCAATGAAAAACAAGTTTCTAGGTGTAACTTTTAGCGTACTTTTGAATTTTTGGGGTTTCAAATGCCTAAGACTTTGTGGAAAGACGGTGCGCAGCATCTGTAAATTAAAAATGGCTGTAACTTTTGAGCCAAAGAAAATTTTAGAACTCCGACTGCACCACGTGAAAACCCGCAAAATTTTAAGAAAATAACAGTGTGTTTTACCAAATACTGATGGAGAAGCTCTTAATTGCATGGTAAAAAAGAGATCGTCCCCTGAAAGCTCCTGAAGTAGGCAACCAATCAGCCATGCCAGGGAACCTTAAAACAAAAATTGATGCGGAGCTATGGGAAAATTTAAGGGAAAATCTTCAACTTTGATGGTCTGTAGCGTCAAATAAAAGCATTTTCAGAAACAATTTTAAGGATCAAAAAAGTATTATTTTTAACCCTGAGAAACCCTGTGTAGAATACTTCCCTGTTCATCTTTTCTTTTGAGATGATTGCCTTTTAAGTCTTGCTTCTTTTCTGTCTTTTGCACTTCCTTTATTTAAACTACATTTAAAAGGCCAGTCAAACCAAAACTTAACTCTTCAATCTTTCTGTTTCCTAGATAAAAGCGAATTGAATTCCAATGATTTAAAGGAAATAAAAAGCCTTCTGTTGGAGATAAAAACAGAGGTCAATCACTTGAACACCGTTGTCGATGAAAAACGGTACTTTGATTCCAAATATGACTACGCGGAAATTGAAGAGCTTCTCCCTTTTTGCGATGATACAAAACTGGGGAAATTTCACCAAAAGATCAAAGAAGAAAAAAACTATGAGTACAAAGTTGTAAGTAAATCACCACCTATGTAATTCCTTTTCCCTCTACACCTTGAAAATAATGCCGGTTTTATGTAAACACTACTGTACCTAATTATTTGTGAATCATTTCATCCATCAAGGATTGAGGTTTATAATTTCTTCCACCTTGGTCTCATCAATCATTGATGCATTCATATACACTGACTAGCCCTCTTGCAACACCGATTACATAAGGTGGAAGTAATCATGGCATATGTATTCCAGTGAATACAATGGTACACTGCTTTTCACAACTTAAGCGATTCATAAAGATTCTAGGAATAGCCAACTTATTTCAGTCTGCTTCTAGAAGCAAGTATTTCCCTCCCTAAGGTGTGGGATTTTCCTATCTCATTTTTAATTTTTTATTTCTTTAGTTCTTCCTAAAAATTCTATACTTACCAAAGAACCAAAAATATATTGCTTAAAGCTTGCAAAATGAATCAAAAATGAAAAGTATAAGAGAAGTTAACTTGAAAAAAGGGAGGGGATAAATTTTAGCCAAACAGATTATTGCAGATGTTTTGTTTGCTCTTTTGCAAGCACAAAACTAGTTTTTATAGGGAACAAAAGAAACCTATTTTTTTCAGCTCTGAAAGTGCAGGGAATTTCCCAGCACCATAAACGACTGAAGGAGTAGACAGAGCAATTGATCAATTCTTGATGTAGAACTCTCCCTTCAAGAGCAAAAAATTTTTTTTGCAGCATCTCTTATACTGCCCTGCTACAGAAAAAGTCAGTCTTGATGGAGATTAGACTTTCGGAGAAAATCACTTCAGAAACTGACCCAATTTTACATGCTTCTCATGACCTGGTCTCATGGCCATCTTCAATTTTCACTCATTTATACTTCAATTTTTGCCATAATTTTGATGGTGTTCCTCCAACTGTGTAGAATAATAATTAAAAATAAAACAACGTATGGTAAGAGCCTATTTTTCTTCTATATATTGTGCTCTTTCTGGGCCGAGCAGTATGGAGGAATGCTTAAACGGGGAGACAAAGTACTTCCGTTACTTTTATTGATTGCTGATAAGATGGTTTAATTTTTGAGGTAGGCAAGGTCATTTGAATCAAATTTTGGTAGTAATTAGCCTTCCAATGTTTTGAATTGGATCTACCAAACTTTCTTTAGGTACTTTTTCTGATTGCAATTAAGTGCCATTTTTTGTCTCACCTCATTGTTACAATTCTAACTGTTTTTGATTCAGATAAAGTGCTTTCGGACCTACGGTGGAAGCACGGAAAGAAAAATTGCCACCAAAATTATGGAACGCTTGCTGACATACCCGCTTGCATCTAAGTTCTCCATGAAGGGTGGAAAACTAAAGGAAAGTTTTTCTGTCTTGAACGTGTATCAAACTATAATAAGTAAGTTACCATTTTCATTTTTTCTCTGCATAGGTAGTTGGGATTTATCAATTGGAAAATATCTCATAGCTTTGACTATAAAATCCTGTTCATGAAGTTTGTCCTAGAAAGTCAATTAAATTTACAGTAACTTCTATATTTATGATCCTGAGCTCTGTTGGATGTCTGCCTCTCAAAGTCACTGCTGTAAAATCAAAATGTGAGGAATAAGATTCCGTATAAGTTGCAGGGAGTCTACAGGCTTAGAAAACTGGGAATCAAGTCTGTTGTCAACCTGAAGTAATTGATTCACTTCCTGCTTGCTCAACTATTGAAAGTTCTCAAAACCTTCCATAATTCAGCCCAAAAAATTTCTTCATTGCAAAAAACTTCATTGCACATACACCCTAATTTGTTCTTCCTTGACCATTTGCAGTTATAAAATTGCGTAGTTAAAGTTCGCCATTCTCAACAGTTTATTCGGTCTGATCCTACATAAACCGTCAATCAGCGCAGAAATATCAATGGAAAAGTAGAGTCCATATTAAACGAAGTTAGTGAAAAATATTAATTTTTGGACTTTTAATACATATTCCTGCCCATCAGGAGACTGAAAAACTTCTTTAAATCGGATCTGCATCATTTCTTGTTTGCTCTTTGCAACGAAGAACCTAACCTGAGGGCAGATTTGTTTCTTCTTTCAACATCTTTATTTTGAAAAGGAAAGGATTGATATGACTCATTATCTTTCAAGATAAATTTGGAGTAAGCCTTAAGAATAGAGGACCAATCAAGTCATAGTTTTACTTCTCACATTAAAAGATGAAGCACTTCAGTACTTTTTTCTCTTTAATTTGAAAGATGTACTTCTCTCTTAATTAAGTGAAGCTAAAATTAAAGCCACATTTGTCTAAATGGTCCTCTCTTTGGAAAATCCATTTAAATCTATATGCTTATGAAGGTACCGATTTACTCTATCTTCCTGCTTTTTTAATATTATTAAATCATTTTGCCTTACAGAAGTTGTCAAACATACCATGACCCAGCCAAATGAAAAAGAAATTGACGCAGCAATAGACTCCTTCTTGAGGCACGCCCCAGATAATGTGCCAACTGAGGAAGAAGAAAGGTAACTTTAGTTTTGATCTTTTGATAACCAGTGTATTAACTCTATGGAACCTCCTAGATTAAAGGAGCACTGCCCAAATGATCATAGAGCTTAAACAATTTGTGTAGCTTTAATTTTTGCTGCACCCCTTCTTAGGTTAATATTTTGTCACCTTCCGGCCAAAGTATCAAAAGCGCCATGTGCCGTTTCAAAATTTCTGCAGCCATTTCATTCCTTCACTGAGAAATTGTTGGTTGAATCTGTTTTTCACTAAATTTTATCAGAAAGAAAATTCAGTGAAATTTTCGGACGGCTTCGTTGAAAAATTTCCCCTGTATAAAAATTAAATGGGGGCGAAAATTTTGAAACGTCGCATGGCGCTTGTGATACTGAGGTCGGAAGGTGACGATTTTTGCTTTTTGATGATATGGTCACAAAAATTTTGCCTCAACATTGAATAATAGGTGAGGTTAGAACACAGGTTATAATTCATCATTGCATCCCGAATACTTGCCTTTGATTTTCTGGTACAAAATAGCTTATTGCAATATCAAGAATAGCAGGTAGAAGATTAAAATTAGAGAATAGATTTAAGAGTTGTATGACCTTAGGACAAGTGGATTGCATTTTGAAATAAGGAACCAAGAGTATTCCAATGTTGCTAAGATTGTGCCACTTTGTTTACCTTGCAATCATAAACTAATCATTTAAACAAGCTTTATTTTTAATTGCAATAAACTATAAATTCATGACAAAAGAGACCCCACAGTTAGTCTATCATTTTCTCCCTTAGTTTATGGGAACCACCCATTTCAACCAATAGGATTGCTTTATACCCCCTATGTCTTCTTTGTCTATAGCTTTGTCTATCAATTTCAATAATCGGCCCGTGGGTCAAAAAAGAAGGTGCTTTTCACAAGGAATGTGCTTAGATAGATATTTCAACTGCACCATGCTATAAATATGAATTCTCAACCCAATCTGAAACTTTTTTTTAAGGCGTTTCGTAGTGTTGCTGTAGTTTCAAGATACTGTCAATTGATATAGTTTTTTTTTTCTTTTATTTCCCAGAACTGTGAAAAAAAGGAAGCGGACATTCCAGGTAAAACTTCCATTCTATTTGACTGTGAAAGGAAAAGAAAAAGCCGTAACCGACCAAGCAAAAGAAAAAGCCCTAACCAACCAAGCAAAAGGAGAAGTAGCAGCAAAAAAGGCAAAAACTAATGAGACAACTGAACCGAAGACAGATCCTCCTTCAGTACAAGCGGGCCCGTCAGCAGTTCCACTCAATATTGAGGTCAACAAAAGTTGAGTCCTCGTGAAAAAATCTCTCGTATCTTTCTCTGGGTTTCACCTATCATACTTTTTGTTTCAATTGGTTCCATGTTTTCCTGCAGTAGAGATTCTGAGTTTGGTTTCAATACTAGGGCTTTCAGTTGAGAGTACTAGTTATATTTGACACTGTTAGTTCTACTTTTATCTAATTCCATTATTTGAGCTAAGCATATCTTAGGAATTCTTGTTTCTGAAATATTTTTCACTCTATTAAACCAATTTAGAGTAGAGAGAGTACCAGTTATATTTGACATTGTTTGTTCTACTTTTATTTAATTCCATTTTTCGAGCTAAGCATATCTTAGGAAGTCTTGTCTCTGAAATATTTTTCACTCTATTAAACCAATTTAGAGTAGAGAGAGTACCAGTTTTTTTGACATTGTTCGTTCTACTTTTATTTAATTCCATTTTTCGAGCTAAGCATATCTTAGGAGGTCTTGTCTCTGAAATATTTTTCACTCTATTAAACCAATTTAGAGTAGAGAGAGTACCAGTTTTTTTGACATTGTTCGTTCTACTTTTATTTAATTCCATTTTTCGAGGAAAGCATATCTTAGGATGTCTTGTTTCTGAAATATTTTTCACTCTATTAAACCAATTTAGAGTAGAGTTACCTAAATTTATTTATTTTATAATTTGTACAATTGAGCCTCTGGCTGAGGCTATGGCACACGTCATATTCGGTACATGGTTAATTTACTTCTATCCTGTCCCTGCCTGTTTCTAATCTTATGGCGCTGTGAGGAGTGCAGCTTTGCCACCTGAAGATACTTTTGAAAAATCTTGTTTATTGTCACATATTCATTGTTTACTGAAACAATTTTTTTTCTTGAAGGTGTTTACTATCAATTAGTTTTTTCCCGGAATGGGAACAAAGAGGCTCATTTCGCGTGTTGTTTCCTAAAATAAATTACTTAATAAAAGAATAGAAAGGTTACAGAAACATGCATTTTAAATATGACATTAACTATTTAATTTCTTCTTCTTGGATGCATTTCGGCAGACAATGCTATCTTCAGCAAAAGAAAATTTATACCCAAAATAGAAAACTAACAAGATAAGAAAAGTATCACAATGCATATAAAAACAAAGAAGGAAAGAACCAAGAGGGATCAATGGACAACTATCACCAAAATTGAAATATAGAGAAAAAAAGTGAAGTATACAGATAAAAGAAAAATGCAGAAGAATGAAGGTGCATTCTTCTTTTTTTTTGTATATTTCAATTCTTTTGATAGTTGTGCATTGATCCCTCTTGGTTTTTTCCTTCTTTGTTTTAATATGCAATATGCGCGGTAATCTTTCTATTCTTTAAGAATTCTTTTTCTTTAATTTTCTTATTATTGTAGTCAATTTTTTGCCAGAGTGTCTTATAACTGTTATGAAGAGTTATGAAATGGATCGCATTTAGCAAAAAGGAACCAGCGGAATTACTGTGTTTGCAAAAAAGTGCAACTTTCTCTTCTTTTTTAAAAATACTTAATATATATGTGCAGTATTGAAAAATACCTACTCAATTATTTTCCTTTAAAGTTAAAGATGTTTTGGTGAGGAGCAAAAACAATTAGCTATTCCGTGAGATTTCTTAGATATTTATAAAGAAGCAACACTCCAATTGCGCTGGTTCCTTTTTTTTAAATGCGATCCAAATACTCTAAAAATTATTTCTAATTATTTTCTCTTTATTATTTCAATTTATTATATTTTTCTTTTTATCTATTATATTTTATTAATTTTCCACAAGTTTTTAATAATTCAATAATTTTAAAACTGTGATATACTGAGTAATTTCATCCTCCCCCCTCCCACTATTAAATTCTAATTCATGATCCACTTAATAGCCAATTGTAGATGCTCTAATTGGAGTGTCAGTTTGGGGATATCGATGCAGGTTTTGACTGTTGAACCTCAAATGTGCGGTCTCAGCTGAGTCTCATTACTTTTGATCAACAACTCCAAATCAACTCTCTCTGAAATGCAAGGGTTTCCCTAAATTTAATTTCATAAATGTGAGGATTATGCTTTTTTTACCGTTACTTTAAGGTGATTAAACAGTCAAGATCCGTATCGATACCTCCACTATGATACTTCAGTTTGAGCGCCTGAGTGGGCTGATTGTTGAAATTGATAGATAAGGAAGACAAAAGGAGTGTAGAGGGATCCTATCGGTTGAAATGGTTGGTATCTATAGACCAAGGGTGGGTTGCCATTAGTTAGTCTATTACATAGCTCCTTTGTCCATTGCAACCACCCGCTTACACCAACAGGATCCCTCCATACCTTTTTTGTCTGCTTTGTCCATAGCTTTGTCTATCAATATCTATAATAAGCCCAATGGACTAATGTAGCTCTCGTTTATGTGTAACTTAAGAGGAGTCATCGAAATAGGAATTAAGTACATCAATATTTGATCTACTGTACACTGAAAAAAAAAAGGGTCAGATTTTAGCCGAACTGGTCAGTTCAGCGGCGATTAGGCTAATAGGCAAACTGTTTGAAGTAGGAAACAAAACCTTTGAGCTCCTAGCATAACCAAGTTTATGTGCTATCTAAACCCTATTTTAGATTCATCACAAACCTAAAAGTTTATGTTGTATCTAAACCACTTCTAGGTAGTAGCTGAACTAGTTCGGCTATAATCCAAACTGGCCATATACCGTCACAAACTGTTTAGGCAGGTGCAGTGACGAATCACGTGCGTTTAAAAAAGTCCGTTACTTTTTCAGTCTCAGTTGAAATGCTAATGGCGTCGCGAGTCGGTCGTATCGAGTCGGTTAACGAATTAAAAGTAATAAAAATTGATTATCTCAAGTGCTGTGCTATTTCAAATTCACCGCTCATTCTCGGAATCAGTGGCGCTCTCTGAATGCAGTAGAACTTAACTCTCAGTCAGTCAGTGCTGTTGTCTCTGATGTCAACAGGAACTGATAACAATAACACCATCCCGGTGGGTGAGTCAAGGTATTATGTTACTAATTCTTTAATCATTAAACTAAACACATCTGAAAGCATTATTGCTGATCTTTAATCTTTCAAGTAAGACGGTATTCCTTCGTTCAAGAGTGTAGATGTTTAACTAATCTGTTCGTTCGAGCGGCGTGCTGCGTGACAAGAATTCGCGATGAAACCGGAGGACTTTAGTCTGACAGTGATTCTTATCATCAGTTTGTTAAATCAAGAAACATCAGCATTATCCAAATCATCATTTGATCGCTCGATATCGGTGTTATTGTTTTAATACATGGGATAGTAACAGTGTGTACCTATCTATGAGTCGCTCGTAATTAGAATCAGGACCTCATGTATGTATCAAAGCTCAATATTTTGGTTTCTTTCAGCGGCACATAGATTTTAAGGTGACAATTTTTTCTCAGGTAACTCATCTGAAATATTTTTAACTTCGTATAACAACTTAGAAATCAATTTACATCTCCGCTCAGCGCCAGAACACAATTGTTTATTTTTCATTAAAGCTAACCTCAAAATATATTTTCATTCTTTATCCGCCTTGGTTTTTCATAACAGTCACTGCGTATCCAATATATCCATGAAGTGGACTGTATTTTGTAGGAAGGTACCAAGTCGCATCAAAATCAAATTCAGGCAAAGAGGTTCAAAGTTTTACCACTTTATATGACTCAACCAGAGATTAGTTCTGGAGGAATTCTTTCAAAGGCTGCCCTGAAATCATTTTATTTCAACTCATTTCTCCATCTTCTCTAGAATATCGATCCATCAAACCTGCTTAGTTCAACATTATAGTTTCTAGCTCTTTACTGCAATTAAATTGCGGAACTATAATTTGACAGTTAGCAGAATATCCTTCAATGTACCCACACTTCCAACCTGCAGAACTTACTTTGCAGATAACTGAACAACAATGATTAGCACGGAGGAGAAGTTCGTAAGTACTTAAGTACATATACACCTACTAGCAACTTTACATATCTAGCCCCATTTTCAGTTACAATATTAATAGTATGTTTCATTTTCATGGAACCGGTTATGACTCCAGGTTTGTCTTCCTATAAGCTGTGTTTTTCTGTGCCCATTATTCAGGAGTCAAGAGTAGAGGATTGGAAGTCTGGAGAAGAACCGATCCATTTAATGCTACATCATTAGCATGTCCAAAATTTTAATTTCCAGAGAATTATGTGGTGATGAAAAGCCAGAGCCCTGTTATCCTCTGATTTCTTGTATTTTAATGATTTGAGTTTAGGTATCAGATTTGTAATGGGTGGGTAGTGTACCTTTTTGATCGATTGATGATAAAAAAATTGATGGATGCTTGTCCTACATTCAATTTAAATTTCCAAGTACCTGTTAAATGAATTCAGAACGAAAATCAATAATTTCAGTGATATTATTTTTATGCTGTCTACATACACTGGGTTCTTATTCCGTGCCAGGATTGTTATCATTTACCAAAAAATACCTTGAAACTGAGCAAAAGATTTTTTCTGGTATGACCTTTTGGAACTGCATAATAAGGGAATAATGCGTGTTTAGAATTTGACTAGGCATTCTATCCACTTTCCCCCTTGTAAGCCAATCTTTTTTATTTAAGACCTTCACATCATTTTTTCCTATTTTAGAGAGAGTAAGGAAATGCTGATTATAACAAAATTTGAGGAACAATTACTTTCATCCCTGTTGAATGAAAAAAAATAAAACGAAGCACCCACCTAAAAAAAAAAATAAATAAAGTAAAAAAATACCATAAAGTAAAAAATAAAATAAAGTAAATTCATAAAATAAAGTAAATTAATAATATTAAGTAAATAAATAAAATAAAGTAAATTAATAAAATAAAGTCAATAAAATAAAGTCAATAAATAAATAAAGTAAATACATAAAATACCTGAAGTCTAAAGAAAATCAACCCAAAACACAAAATGAAGTAAAATAAATGACGTAAAATAATATAATGAAGTGAAAAAATAAAATGAAGTAAAATAATGCATTAAAATAAAAATCGAACAAAAGCTTTGT